TCTAAAGGGGATTTAAAAAGATTTATTCATTGGGTTTTTAAACATTTTAGAATTAATTCAGACTCTGCAAAATCAGGAATTTTTTGGGATAATGTGGGAAGAAAGTTACATACAGTTCAAGCTAAAGGGGATTTTTCTCTTGCAAAGTCTTTTCCTGTGTTTCAAAATATTATTTTCTCATTGGAAAAAGAGGGAAAAAAAGAAGAGGGAGTTTTGGGTCCCCAGTTAAACCCCCCAACCCCGTCAGCCCCTCCAGGTGTCCCCGAACCCCTTTCCCTATCTGAGAGTCAGTCGGGGGGTGGACGTTGCCCCCAGGCACAGAGCTGCTGCCGTCTCTCTGACGCCTCCCTACTGTCTCTCTACCCGTACCAGGGCAGCAGTGGCCATGCTGCTCTGAGCCTTTCCTCTACCCTCTCCCCTATGCCCTCACACCCGGTTGTGTCCCCCCCAATTCCTAGCGCTAGCACAGCTGGCGCTGGCAGCGTGGCCAGCCCCGCCATTTTGTCCCACTCCCACCCCGGTTTTCCCGCCTTCACCCCTTCTCTTCCTGCCACATCCTGCTCCCCCTCCCCCCCCACTGCGTCGTTGGGTGTAACCGCGTCGGGCCCTGCCCCATCCATCAGGAAACCCCTCCCCGTTGCAGACCCCGCTCCTGTCCCTTTGTGCAAGGGCTCCGTCCCTGGCGGCGCTCCCGCTCCAAGGACCCAGTGCCCCGGAGGTCGGGACGGCTCCGGCTGGAGTGGGGCCACCCCGGCTTCCCCAAGCAGCCACAAAAGGGCCAGCTCTAGACACCCGAGCCGGCCCCTCGCTGCCAGCAAGCGCGCCCCATCTCCACTAGGAGATGAGAGCAGTAAATCTTCTCATTCAGACTCTGAGTATGAAGACCGCTGGGCTGAGGTGCAGAGGGAAGCCACACGGGCGGGGAACTCAGCTCTGTCCCAGAAAATACTTGCCTTTCCTGTAATAATGAGGAGAGACAGGACAGGGGCACAGGTTGCTGCATGGGAATCCCTTCATTATAGGGAACTGCAGGAACTTTGCAAAGCTGCTGAAGAACATGGCAGGCGTTCACATTTTTTTAAACATTTGCTGGAAGCCTCCTTCTCTGCCCACGTCATGGTCCCCCATGACATCAAGAATATTATGAACTGCCTTCTCTCTCCAGCAGAATACATGTTGTGGGAGAGGCAGTGGAAGAAACATTTAAAGCAGTTATCAAATGTTTATGCAAGAGATGCTAACAGACCTAATTTTACTTTAGAGCAATTAGCAGGAGAAGGAGATTTCCAAAAGCCCCGAGATCAGGCCCGGGACCTGCCTGAAGCAGCTTTACAAGATATGCTGCTAAGATATCTCTTTTTACCACCCCTGATGATAAAGTGCCAACGCAGTGCTTCACCAATATTAAGCAAGGGGCAACTGAGTCTTTTATTAAATATATTGATAAGTTAAAAATGGCCATTGAAAAGCACATAGAGAGCCCACAGGCGCAAAAGGAATTATTAGTAAAAATAGCAATGGCCAATGCTAATCAGGAGTGCAAAGCAGTTTTGCGAGCCCTCCCACTGGACCCCGAACCAACCATAAATCAAATGGTTGAAGCTTGCACCAAACACTCCTCTGCCTCAAGTGAGAATACAGGAGTATAAACAAACACTCCTCTGCCTCAAGTGAGAATACAGTGAGAATAAAGGAGTGGCAGAGGCGATATCTGGAGCTTATGCTGCAGACCCCAATAGAAATTGTTGTTTTAATTGTGGTGAGCCTGGACATTTTTTTCAAAGACTGTCCAGAAAGACATTTTATACAACCGCCAGCCCACCAACGGTTCCCCAGACAGAACTGGCATTCAGGAAACTTCAAGCAGAGCGTGGAACGGCCCCGCGTTTCGACATCAAATCAAATGCCACACTGCTCCACCCCTCCTGCCAAACCCATCATCCTGCCTCCACGGGGACACCGATATTAAGCCCAGCAGGTGGAGCGCTTCAGATGGGAACCCAGCATCAACTGGTAACTAGACTCTCTTTACATATGAAGGGTGACTGTGTTTACAAAGTCCCCACAGGGAAACGTGGACCACCAGGCGGTCCCTCTAACATCTTAATACTTGGGGATCCTACCAACTGTCCAGGACAAATTCATACTGTTCCTGAGGTCCAGACTATATACCCTGGAGATGAAATTTCCATCTCTCTGACCTGCATAGACCCTCCTTATTATTTAAAGGAACAGACTCCTGTGGCACAGGCCTTTTTACTTCCTAGTGACTGCCCAGATCATGTTCCCCTCAACCCCAGTGCTATGTGGACACAGGTTGTGGGGTCCTGCAAACCTATCGTGGACTGTAGCCTGTTTTGTTATGGGAAAAGGATTCAGCGCCCAGGAATGATAGACACTGGAGCAGATGTTACCATCATCGCCCTCTCTGAGTGGCCAGACAATTGGGAATTACAACCTGTAGCAGGCATGATTTCAGGAATTGGAGGAATGACAGCTTCCATGAGGAGCAAACAGAATATTGTTATCGAAGGACCTGAGGGACAAATGGCAACCATCAGGCCATTTGTGGTGAGAGCACCAATCACCTCTGGGGACAGGATCTCCTGTCCCAATGGGGGGCTTCTCTGTGGATTCCCAGCAGGGATTTTTAGTTGGGGTCACTGAGAAGCGCGCCACGCCTACCATCCCCCAACTCACCTGGAAACAGCACCATCCAGTGTGGGTTGATCAGTGGCCCCTATCTGAGACCAAACTGCGCGCACTGGAAGCCCTTGTGGAAGAGCAGCTTGCCAAGGGCCACATCACTGAGTCCAACAGCCCTTGGAACTCCCCTGTCTTTGTCCTACGCAAACCAGGCAAGGACAGGTGGAGACTCCTTCACGACCTCCGGAAGATCAACGATGTCATTGAGGACATGGGACCCCTCCAGCCTGGCATGCCCTCCCCTTCAATGCTCCCCCGGAATTGGAAGCTGGCTGTCATTGACATCAAAGACTGTTTTTTCAACATACCACTCCATCCTCGGGACGCTCCCAGATTTGCATTCTCAGTTCCCTCTCCAAACAGACAAGCACCTTTAAAAAGATACCATTGGCGGGTCCTTCCTCAGGGGATGAAAAATTCTCCTACCATCTGCCAATGGTACGTGGCCCACATTCTGTCACCTGTGAGGACCCTGTTCCCAGATGCCGTCATCCTCCACTACATGGATGACATCCTGGTTTGTGCTGCTGACGATGACTATCTGCACCGGACTTTACAAAAAACTATCCAGACAATTGAGGACGCTGGATTTGAGATCCGAGAGGACAAGATCCAGCACACCTGCCCTTGGACCTACCTGGGACTCCAGATCCGCGAGCGGACCATCGTGCCCCAGCAGCTGACCATCAAAGACGACCCCAAGACCCTGCGGGACCTACATCAGCTCTGCGGGTCCATCAACTGGATACGCCCTCTGCTTGGGGTAACAACAGAAGTCCTTGCACCCCTCTTCAACCTGCTCCGTGGCAGTGAGGTCCTCGACTCACCACGCTCCCTCACGCCAGAGGCCTGGGAATCCATCACCAAGGTCCAGGAAGCCCTGTCTTCACGACAAGCCCACCGGTATGAGCCCAGCCTGCCCTTCCAGCTGGTTATCCTGGGTAAGGCCCCGCGCTTACACGCGCTCATTTTTCAATGGGACACGGCATTGAAGGATCCTCTCCTTATCATCGAGTGGATTTTTACACATAACCAGCCCACTAGAACTATTACCACCCCGCAGGAAATCATGGCTGAACTCATTAAAAGAGCTAGAGTCCGTCTCTGTACTCTTGCAGCCTGTGAGTTCACCTGCATCTTCCTCCCATTGGCAACTGGAAGTTTGGAGCCTTTGCTCCAAACCAATGAGAGCCTTCAGTTTTCTCTCGATAGCTATTCAGGCCAAATTTCTATACACCCACCTGGCCACAGACTTTTCAAAACCACATTTAATTTGGTCCCCAAATCATTACAGAGCAAAACACCGCTCCAGACCCTGACGGTTTTCACAGATGGCTCAGGGAAATCCCACAAGTCAGTCATGACTTGGAAGGACCCCAAGACACAGAAATGGGAGTCTGATGTCCAAGTGGTCGAGGGATCACCACAGATTGCTGAGTTAGCAGCCGTTGTCAGAGCTTTTGAGAAATTCTAAGAACCTTTCAATCTGGTGACTGATTCGGTTTATGTGGCTGGAGCTATGAGAGCAGAACATGCATTTCTAAAAGAGGTCTCTAACCCAAATTTATACAAATTGCTTTCTGAATTAGTATATCTTATATCTCACAGAAAGCAACCTTACTATGTCATGCATGTGAGGGTGCACACAGACCTCCCAGGTGCCATTGCCGAAGGAAACAGGAGAGCAGACGCCTTAGCCATGCCTGCTAAGGCAGCCAATGTCCCTGACATTTTCGCACAAGCGAAATTGTCCCACCAGTTCTTCCACCAGAACGTGCCTGCACTGATGAGAATGTTCAGACTACCCAGAGACCAAGCTAGAGCAATAGTTGCCACCTGTCCTAATTGCCAATCGTTCCAAATACCAGTCGTTAACTCCAGGGTTAACCCCCGAGGACTGAACTGCTGCCAGATATGGCAAACTGATGTCACTCACGTCCCGTCCTTCGGGAGAGTCAAATATGTACATGTCTCCGTAGACACCTTCTCTGGTGCAGTGTTTGCCTCAGCCCATGCAGGAGAAAATGCCAAGCACACCATCCGACATTTTCTCCTTGCTTTTGCAACCCTGGGAGTCCCAGAACAAATGAAAACAGACAATGGACCTGCTTGCACCTCTCACAAATTAAGAGACTTTTTCAATGAGTGGGGGGTGAAACACACCACGGGCATTCCTCATTCCCCCACAGGGCAATCAATAGTAGAGAGAACCCACCAAAACCTATAAAGAGTCCTTGATCACCAGCGGGGAGGAACAGAAATCATTCCCCCCATTGAGAGGCTCTGTAAGGCTCTATATGTCATGAACTTTCCCAATTGCTCGCCTCCAGAGCCTGACCCCCCTGTAATACGGCACTTCTCTAATTCAACTCATGCCAAACTCACAGAGAAGCCGCCAGTGCTGATCAAGGATCCTGCATCACAACTGACATCGGGACCTTTCCCATTGATTACCTGGGGAAGAGGGTATGCGTGTGTGTCCACACCATCAGGACCTAAGTGTCTCCCAGGGAAAAATGTGAAACCTTATTTAGGCCCTACAAACCCTGCACCAGATTCAGAACTTTCAAAGTCTCCTGAGACCCACACAGCTCCAGAAAAACAGCAGCCCACTGCAGCCTGGAAACGGAGACGTCATCAGAGTCCACCGAACCGACCTGCTGCCAGACCAACAACCAGACAGAGGCCAAACTGTCCTGCTACCAGGGCCGCAACGAGACGACTGCCAACGTCACGCCTGACACCGTGACAGTACACAAGTCTTCTTAACTCCCTCCCCCTTCCCCTTCTTGCCCTCATTGCCTAGCCCAAATTGTTAGTTTTCACCAAAGTGCACCTCTGTGCTGCTGCTGGTGTCGGGTCATGTGTCCCCAATACACAGAATAATCTCGCTTATAATTGTTTCGTTTTTTTTGTTTTCTTGGTTTTTTTTTGAAGAGGGGGGATACAGGAGAGGAAAGGGAGAAAGATAATAGCTCCCCCCCCTCCAAAAATCAGAACTAATCTTTTATGTCCTATTGTAGAAAATGGAGAGCAAAACCATTCTTGAGTTCCTGATGTTCCTGATTATCTGGATGCTCCTGAAAACATCAGCTATGGATGCCTGGCTAGTAGCACAGCCCCAGGAGAACGTGTGGATCACCCTCGCAAAGACGCTCCAACAAGACCACATGTGCTTGTCCATGGGCAGCGCCACCAACCCTCTGTCATCCTGCCTGATAGGGATTCCTTTAAAGCCCCATGAATATCCTTTCACAGGGAAAGAACCCAACCCAGTACACACTTGGGATGAGTGGACAAAGATCTTGCCCCATGCACCAGAGGAACCCCAGGAATTAGAGCTTTTGGGATCCTCCAAAGCTACCTATTGCATAAATTTTAATTATCACCCAGTAGCCAATGTATGGCCTGCCTCGAAATACCAAAAGGCAATTAAATCAAGGAAAAATGTGACTCCCAACAGTGAAATTTACAGTCAATCCAAATGGTGCAATTACACCAGCAGCACACGATCTACCTCCTCTCACTATCCCAGAGTGCTGCCCCGGGGAGGGTTCTTGATCTGTGGGGATAGAGTGTGGGCAGGAATCCCTTCCCGACTCTGGGGAGGTCCTTGCACGCTTGGACAGCTTACCATCCTCACTCCAAATTCAACTCTAATACATGATTGGCTGAAAAAGAATGAATTGACCCGCCAAAAGAAAGATCTTGCCCAATTAGATGAAAATTGCAATAGCCAAATTAAAGATCGGTCCTACACAAAGAGGGTGGTGATGTCAGCATTTTTGCCGTGGGCGGCTGCTGCTAAAACCCTTGGTGAGCCTTCTCACCTGGAGTGTTGGCTTGGTAAGCAGGCCAACCGGACCTCCTCTGTCCTGAGTGACCTCCTGACAGATGAAGAGACTGTTAGGCATGCTACGCTACAAAACCGAGCTGCCATAGACTTTCTACTCCTGGCCCATGGACATGGCTGCGAGAAATCAGATGGTTTGGGCTGCTTTAACCTCTCCAGCCCCAGTGAAGGCATCCATGCCCGCATCCAGAGACTCCAACATGCAGTCCAAAAACTCAGGCTGAAAAGGAGCCCCAGTGGCTTGAAGACCTTTCTGTGAGCTGGGGACTCGAGAGATGGGTTGCCTCCATCCTCAAGAACATTTGTTGGGTTTTCTTGATTGTTATTATCTTCCTAAGTATGTTTTCATGTTTTAAGAAGCTATCAGCTAACTCTCTAGGGGATGCCTTTTTAATAAGAAGGGGGAGTTGTGGGTATGGAGGAGCCCACTGGGCCTGGGATCCTGGCTCTCCCCTGGAGAAGAGGTACTTCTCTGTGAGAGACACAATGTGTCACTCACAGGGGTCTTTGAGTTAGATATGTTAAACTGTTGTGCCCCATTGGTGTTCTCCCCTGCTGTCCCACCCCGATACAGGTATCTCGGGCTTCCCCCCGCCCCTCTCCTTCCCCATAAATATCCTGGGTTTTCCCCTGTTTGGCAGATTCGCTGTTACCTGCACCCTTCGCTGAAGCTCTGCCTGAATAAAGGCTTGTGCCTTGGTGGAACGCTGGACCAGCTATCTCGTCCCTGCTTCTTGTGTTGCCTGCCCGCCACTGCCGCTGAGCCAAGCTGAGCTGAGCTGAAATCACTATACTATTACTGAGCTGAGCTGGAATCACTCGACTGCTCGAAGCTGCTCACACGCACTTCTGGCCAGCCTTTCTCAAGGCTGTGTCTAGAGAAGTCGCGGTGCTCCAGGCTTTCTGTCGCCGCGGCACTCAAGAAAAAGGCTGGACGCACATTTCCAGAGTAAAAGGACTGGTACCCCCTCCAAGTAATGAACCAGATCTCGTAAGGACACAACCAACTCACCCAAGTGGACTGTTTTACCCAATTCAAACAACCTTAAAGTAACTTTTAAAAAGGAAAGGAAGAAAGACTGATAAAGACTGGTGGTAGAACCTAACAAAGACTGAAATCCTGAGTTTTAAAGAGTTATAACGGTTATAATTACTGTTACTCAAGTTTAAAGTTTGTTAAGTTTTCTTTATTACTCCCAGAACTTGTATAAGTGTGACTTTATGGAGTAATTTCTTGTATAAGCGTGACCTCACAAACTTTCTTACGTAAGTGTGACCTGACCAAACATCTCCCACAGAGCATTTCCCAAGAAAGCATCATATTAGTAGAGAAAGGGGAGGAAGCAAACCTGGTCATCTTTCCAAGGAAATAAGAACTCCCCGACTCAAGAGGCAAGACTGGGTGAGATTGAGAAATGGTTCACACCAGACTCTTGAGGGGACTAATAATAGTCCTGGTGATGAGGAACACCATAGACAGTGGAGAGAATGCATGCTCCAAATGTTACCATCCTCTCTACGATGGGGAGAACCTTGGCTCACTAATCCGGGTCCACACTAACATAAATCCCAAATTTAACCACTCCCAGTTAACAGCCTGCCAAGAGGGCGGGAAAGTATATTGGCTTGCAAAGAATACTGCCTTGTTTAGGCAACGCCTACTTGGTGAATGCCCTATGGGAGAAGCATGGTTCCGTTTTGAGCAAGAAGGAATGAAGGACTTGATAAAAGAAAAACTACTAACAAAAGTACCAAAAATGGACAAATTAGAGATACCTGATGGGAAGAACTTATTCATAGATTTGGTGGAAAGGATCAGTAAAGAACTAAATATAATTAATTGTTGGGTTTGTGGGAGTACAAAAATGTCTGAACTGTGGCCATGGGAAGGAATTAGTATGGGACCATTGGAAATCCTCAAATGGAAAAAAACAGAACCAAAATCCCAGCTCTTAATGAAGAGAGCTAAAGGGAGATGGGATTTGAAATCAAAAGTAATTGGTGAAGAATGTATACTGAGAACAGGGAAAAGTTATGCTACTCTGGTCAGAAGGATGGCTTGTAAAAGGCATTTGATCACAAAGGATCTAGGTACTAGGTGGATCCCATGAGAACAAATAGATATTGGGCAATTGAAAAGAAAGAGAAGGGATGCATTTATCATGAGGGGTATGACCTCCATGAATGTGCAGACAAGGGAGTAAACCCCTTCTGGGAAATAAAGCAGATACCTAAATTTTGGGAACATCCCACACACATAACAGATACTTTTTGGGAAGCCCCTGACCACTTGTTTTGGATTTATGGAGATGTTGCTTACACTGTCCTCCCAAAGGATTGGACAGGGAGCTGTGCAATAGGCATTATCAAGCATGCCTTCTTCCTTCTACCTAAAGAGTCAGGGATGAGCCTGGGAGTTCCAGTATATGATGACTTGAAGAAATTAAACCGAAGGAGAAGGGATGTAATTGACATGGAAAACACTCAGAAATGGAAAGGGAGAATTTGGACACCAGAGGACATCATTAAAACTTATGGGTCAGCAACATGGGCCCAGGACGGATCCTGGGGATACCATACCCCAATTTACATGTTAAATTGGATTATCCGACTCGAAGCAGTACTTGAAGTAATCTCCAATTGAACAGCCTCAGCTCTTGATCACATAAGTACTCAATTGGCACAAACCAGAGCAGTTATCTATCAAATTCGGTTGGCAGTGGACTATCTGTTGGCAGTGGACTATCTATTGGCAGAAGAGGGGGGAATTTGTGGTAAATTTAATTCTTCCAAGTGCTGCTTAGAGATAGATGATAGGAGAGAGGTCATTAAAAACATATCCACAGAGATCCATAAAATTGCTTATGTAGGCACTCAAGAATGGACTCCTTTGCTAGACAACAGCTGGTGGGATGACTTCTGGTCATTTAAGGGAAAATGGTGGAAGAAGGTACCTTTTGTAGCTGCAGCCGTGCTAACAAGCCTACTATTTCTACGCTGCCTGCTCCCCTGTTGAATCAGAATAATGTCATCCACAATCCAAACAAGTACTCAAATTTCAAAGACAACTGAACATACTAAAATTATGGTCATGGAAAGTCAACAAGAGGAACATAAATCAGCTAAGAAGGTCTATGACCAATACCAAAAACTGAGGAGGTTCTATTTTCAGGAATCAGAAATTGCCAATTGATGTGGGCTTAAGCCTAATCAAAAAGAAAGAGGGGGAATGTTGTGGGAAATGAAATTCTAAAGTTATGAGTTGTTGAATTAAGAGCTAATCACTTTTGATTGATTGTTGGAATTTTTAGTGCCTTTACCCCCGATTGCTTTCTCCCTGCTTTACCCCCGATTACTTTTCCCTTACATTGTATCCCCTTCCCCTTGGGTAGTGCCTCCACTGCTCCCCAAAATGGCGCCTGAGGCTGCACGCAAACAAGTGTCGCTGCCCGCTCGGCCCTTCATGCCTCAGCTAGCTCGTGCCAAGCGTCAGCGGCAGGAGTGGGGAACCAGGTGAGCACTGTGTGGCTCGACCCGGAACCTCTAGAGCTCCGCCCCACGTTGGGCGCCAGCTGTCGCTGCCCGCTCGGCCCTTCACGCCTCAGTTAGCTCGTGCCAAGCGTCAGCGGCAGGAGTGGGGAACCAGGTGAGCACTGTGTGGCTCGACCCGGAACCTCTAGAGCTCCTCTGGGCTCGGGCTCTATGGTTCGCAGGGCGACGCAGGGTGCGGTAAAGGGAGAGAGAGTGCTCGGAGTCCTCCAATTTCCCAGGAACAAGTTTATTCTAGCAGGTGCAGGGAAAAGGTGATGAGGGACGGGGCTGGGATCACGAGGAGAAGGTCCGAGCCGAGACCCCGGGCACCTTCGTGCGCCAGGTTTTAAAGTCAGTGGGCGGCTCATACTACAACCAATAGGACGGCAGCAGGGGAGGTGTTGTGGGAAGGGTTTACAACATACAGAACCAATGGTAGGGACCCGGGGGAGGGAAGACAATTGTACAACCAATAGGGCATCAGGTAAGGGGTGATAAGCAGGGAAGGAACCAGAACAAAAGGTGTGGTGTACATGGATTGATAGGGCTCAGGGACAGGATTAAAGCGATGGATGGGGAACAATCTGGAAAAAGGGGAGTGGTTTACAATGATAGGCAACTGGGGACAAACCACGTTGGGATAGCGGGGGAGTAACTGGGACAGACCAACCTTAAACTTAATGAAAGTGAACAAACAGGCGGCAACAAACAAGGTTGGACTGAGTGCTGCCAGGAGACAAAAACCCC